TACTTAAAATTTTACACAAAAAGGGATCATCTAGGAGAGCACCTACTTTATATTTAGATGCAAAATTTCTGAATATCAACACCATAAGATTGTTTGTTTTCATCAGAAGTGTAAATTTCAAATAAGACTACTATAGAACGCTCAAAAAATAAGCGTTTATATGAGCATTTACAGTAAGTAAATTTTAATAAATTTGCAGAAAGAAAGTAATTATTTTGCAAAATGATTAAACCAGCAAAAAAATAAAATATTGGGTATGTATAAACCAAGTCAAAAATCTTCTAAATTATATAAGCATGTGTAAGCAAGGATACATGTTCGAAATAATAAGGAAAATAAAGGAAAGTGAAAAGATAAACAATAACAAAAAAGATATTTTTATTTCATTTAAAAAAAATTCCTTTTATTTTACAGGCATATCGAATCCTAAGCAATTATTTTTTTATATACGTATATTTAATTTTTATTTTTATTTACAAATGTTGTATATGCATATGTATTTTTATTTTTCCCTTGCCTCTTGCTTTTATTTTCAATAACTTTCAACTTTCAAATTTTTTTTCATACATCAGGATGGCTTGTCATTTTGTAAGTATGGTACCTTAAACGGTGGAGCATATAACAAATAAAGTTGGGTCAAACCAATGGTTTGTATTGTAGCACTTTTCCATTCAACAAGTGAAAATTCTGCTTTTAAATACAGTCTATGTATACCTATCACACTATTAAAATTATTTTCATTCATATTTAACTATTTCTAGGATTGCATATATTTAGGATGATGCATTCATGCAGTCTTTGAAATAAAGCAAAAATTAATATAAAGATGGGTTAACATAATGCTCGATTTTAAGGGTTAATTGTGTGAGTTAAGAAAAATAATTATATTTTTTAATGTCATGGAATTTACCGCTAGCTTTCTATGTTTATAGAAATTTAAAAACGTTTGCGGTTTCGGAAATATAAGGCGCCAAAAATTCAAATTTTACAAATTTCAAGAGGCAATAACTTGAGAGGGGGTGGAGATAGAAAAAAATTTTCTTCTAACGAAATAAACTATTTGTTAATGTCTAGAAAAAAAACGAAATCAAAAATTTGGAAAAAAAAGACTTTAGATAACGGTAAATTTGAACGGCCATTTTGTTTTTCTAAAGTTTAATTATAGTATACCGCGCTAGGGGAAGCACGCCGCTGCCTTTCTGCGTTTGCAAAATTTCAAAAATGCTTATGGTCTCGTTGCAACAAATAGTTAAGAAAGGCCATTTTTAGGGTTTTGGGGGGTATAACTTCTAGAGGGGGGGAAATAGGTAAAAATTTTGTTCTACGGAAATAAGTTTCCAGTAAAGATCTATATACATACAAAATTTCAGCTTCCCATCTTCAAGGGTGTAGAAGTTTTGTAAACAGAAACAGATACACGGACAGACGGACGGACGGACGGACGGACGGACAGAGCACTTTTTTCCAAAAAATTTTTGGAAAAGTGCTAAAAATTATAATGACATTGGGTTTCAAATATCATCGGCACCACATCTAGAACGTTAATATTATCTGAGTTGGCTAAAAAAGATTGAAAATATCACAATTGAGGTAATAAATATGATGTCAACTGGCTATGATGTCATTTTTATAAAATTAGTAAAATTTGAAAAGAATTGACCTGGCACCGAGGAATATCGTGTATATTAGCCAAGAATGTTATGAACGACACTAATACATCATTAGATTGAGTTAAAGAATTGACTTAAAACCAAATGGTATAGTTCTTCGGTAAAGTCTGAAAATTGTATATAAATCTTATATAAATTGTATATAAATGAAAACTTGAGTCTTTAATAAATTTACTTGATTAAGATAAATGAATATATCCTTTACACACAGGGTGTTTAAGACTAAATTGTAATTCTGTTGAAGAGTGATGGAATTCGTCCAGATTAACAGAAAATACAAATACACAAACTATTCTAATAACCTCTGTATACTTACTGAGCATACTCCTAAACTTTACCGCCTTATTGCAACTCGTATACAATAATTCAGCAGATTCAGCTGTTTAATAAAATATATAAGCAAAATCTTTTAGCTATATTTTCTCTATATGCAAATGTACAATAAAAATTCATGCTGAAAAAATAAATTTATGTATTTTAGCGTTTTGGTTTCAATAATTAGTTTTTCAGTTTCAAAAATACAAATAGTTATATTTAGTTGAACAATACTACCAGACAATTTCATTACGCCCAAATATACTGTGAAAGCAATTTCAATATAATATGTATTTCATTACGGTCCAAAATACATATATTGAGTTTGGTAAATAAGAGCATGTAACCTGTTACTTCCATTAATGAAAAATATTAATTAAAATTAGCAATAATAAAAATGCATAGTAAGGGTTGGAAATATTACAAAATACGTTATTTGTATTGCGTATAAGCCGAGTAATTATCATAAAAATTTTGAGAATAACCATTAATTTGGCCATCATAATCAATCATTAATCAATTAAGTTTATTGTCATATTATTTTCGAAAAAGTTTGGAATTAAAAATTTTTAAGAAAATATTTAATCAAGAATGATTAAGGATCCAAGAATATTTTTTATGAAAATTTATTAATATTTTGTAATTATATACCTTATAAACAAAAAAAAATTTACAAATATATCAACGTACAGGTAACATTGTTATAATTTCAACAAAATTAACTAAAAAATAATTGAAAAATTAATTAGGACAAAAAGCTTTCAATGAAGAATAATTTTTAAAAATAAATTTATTCTGGAAGTATGCAAGGTTACTCCATCCGCATGCACGTACATTTTTTATAACGGAACAACAAAAAATTTTTTTTTGAAAATTTTTTTATATTCATATAAAATATAAAAGTAATTTAATTAATTACAAAAAGTTTTACCTTCACTTACGTTTATCGATATTTTCGATTAAATTATTTAATTAAATTTCGTAAAAATCGATATTTTTGTTTAGTACACATTTACGAGCAAAATATTGTTAAGGTTACTTAACAATATAAAACTACACTTTGGGCACCTGCTAGTTAAAAGTTGCTAATTTTGATGAATTAACGAGAACTTAGAAATTTAATTATTAAATTTGTTGTTTTTGTATTTATGCCTTAAATATTAAAAAACGTTCGAGAAAATTTTTATTAGAATAATTTCAAAGTACATTTATTATCTCTATTATCCTTATACTTAGATTTATTCAAATAAGAAGATCCACATCACCTATCATCAGAAAATTGAATCATTTTACAAAAAAAAGTTAAAAAAAAATGAGGATTTCAATTGAAAAATTGGATATAAAGCAAAAACTTAACTATATCTCTGATATTTTGGTGTAATTGCTAACCAGCAAAAAGTATTATGTAACAATAGATAGCCATACCTATTTATATTCTTTGTGAGAAATTCAAATGCTAAATTATATGATTTGAGCAGGTTTGAGTGATTAAAAAGCTTTTGAAATTAACTGCCTAACAAATCAGCTTTACAATTTCGCTAATAAATTTTCTAGTCTATGGCGTGTTTGAACAATACAGCATTAATACTAATTGTGTTTAAAAATATATAGTAGTTTAATAATGCATTGATTCAAGAATTCTATAAAGATTTGCTTGTTTTCTCTAGATCAATCAAATTTTAAATTGCCGATGAAACAGATTGGCAGACATAACTTCTAGAATAAATTTAATCCTTAAAAAGAATAATAAGCTACACATCTCGCGTCACTATTCATTATAGTTATGAACGGTATCGTAAATAATACTCTATGAAAAAGATTTGAACATGGGCATAATTATAAAAATGACAAGAAATAGTTCTAAGATTTGTCGATATATTCCTAAAACAAGAAAAAACAAATTTCTTTGAATAAAAAATTTCTAATTTGATATTTTTTATTAATTAAAATTTTATTTTCTTATAAATTTTAATTTTTAATTTATAAATTATTAGTTTTCTTTTCTAAACTTATAATTAAAATTTTATAAATATATAAAAAAAATCAATACCATTTCCATAGCAAAGAAATAAAATACCGAAAAATTAGTTAAATAATGTGTACATGTATGTGATTATTTTTTAATTTGTGTATTAGGTATAGATACATTGCAACACAAAAAATCGTTTCGAAAATTTCATATTGAATTCAAAATTTATTTTTAATATCTATAAACGTGCTACAATCTTTATATAGAATCCTCATTTAGATTCACTTCTAATCTTCATTAAAATTCTACAGTTTCATGTCATTCTGCTCAAACAAACCTAACGAAATTCCTTTTAACCAGTTCTAAAGCTACAGTGATACTGCAACAACTTGAATGTAATTTTTATTTATAATCGCAAACTTGCACGTAAACATGGTTTAGGTCCATAATAGATACAGGATTTCAGTTTTTACGATAATACAGTTTTACTTCTTGATTTGAGTGTTGATTGTAATGCGTTTTCCAAAATATTGTTGACAACGTTTATTGATTCTTATATATAAATTTTTAAATTATAACAAAAAAAATTAAAGTTTCCATTGTTTGAATTCAATTTTGTTTAATTTATTGAAATAAAATCGATTTTTTTTTGTTTTTTAGGTCGCATTGTACATATAAAAATAAAATAAATAAATAAATAAATACAAATAAAATAAATTTCAATACATTAATTCGAAACAATTTAAATTAAATGATACCTAAAATTAGGCAATATTTTTTTCATTTTGCTCATATTTTTTTCCATTTTATTCAATAAAATTTTATTTCATCGCTATAGAAATAGTCCTTTTTCTATTCTAATAATTATTTTGTTTTCTGTTTTTGTCAGTTCAATATTATTAATTTAAATTCATTAAATATAATAAATAAATTATTTTTTATAGATATTATTTAAAAATTGATTATACTTTTAGTTTGAAAAATTAAATAATAATATTTTAATTATATTTTAAATAAAATAAAAAATTTATTTTATTTTTATTAAATTAAATATGTTCAATTTTTGTACCAGTTGTTGGTTGCAACAAAGATTCAGTTGCAATTGTTAATTGTTCTGAAACTAAATGTGCTATCTGTGGTGTACGTTTCCAAATGAATTCACGTGTACGTTCATGATTGTCGGAACTTTCTACACGAACCTTTAAAATAAATTGCATAAAAAATGTAAAAAAAAATTATTTATTTAATATTTTTTAGTAAAGGATTATTATAGAATAATAATTACAATAATTTAATATGCAAATATATTATGATTATTTGTGTATGCCCACATATATATATTGTAAATATAATAATTTAATAGAAAAATCCAAAAAATACAAAAATTACCCATCTGTAAAAATAAACAATGATAGCATTTAAATAATAGTAACTAAAAATATAGTATTTTTGTCAAAAAAATTATTATTGATAATGCATACATAATGAAGTGTAAAAAATTTGATATTTGACAAATTAGATATGAAATTTAAGAATAAAAGTTTATATATAAAAATTAAAAAATTTAAAATTTTAGGAGCTGCGAAATAAATCCTAGCGAAATTCTCATATTTTGGATATTAAATGACACCAAAATAAACGAGTACTGTGGTGTAATTTCTAATCAACTATACAATTTCATTTTTTTGTCTATGTATTCCAAAACTTTAGTTCCATATATAAATTTTCAATTTCCAGAAAGAGAGCATCTTTGGCAAAAGACTGATGACTTGTAGAAGAAAGATGTCATTTGTAATGATTAATTAATCATTACAAATAACATTAAATAAGAGTTGTAGAAAATGTTTCATTCTCAATATGCTTACATTTGTGAGGCCTATTTATTATCGAGCTTCACTCAAAGCAATAATTAAGTAAGTAAGTAAGAGAGGGGGGCTCCAACCGTTTACCCGCGCAAACCCGATGCACTAGGCCGACAGAAAAAGGCCTATCGGCAACCCCCAAAAGACCCATCACCCAAACAACCCCCATGCAGTTCGACACACAAGACCCCCTATCCAAACCAGCGAACCTCCTTGGCGAAGCCGAAAAGCCGCGCAAGAGACATCTCGGAAAGGTCCCCCAGGCCATCGTAAAAATAAGCCCCAAAGACACGCCTTCTCTTCCACATCAGAAACGGACAGGTACAGAGGACATGCTCTACATCCTCCACCTCCGCCACATCCCGACACCCACGACATACATCCGTTATAAAAAGCAATAGTCAGACATGGGTGAATCAATTACGGAATCAGTACTAATGAAAATTATGTACCAAATCATGTATAGTATTCTATACATTAATACAATTTGTACAAAATGAAATCATTGTGATCTAACCCAGCACTGCATTCCGACAACTTTTGATTTCTTTTTTAAAACTGCTGTAACTTTTACGTTTCTATGGCCAATATTTTAAACTTTTATATTCTTTTGAGTATAAAATGTTCTAATAAAACAATATCTGTTAAATTTATTGAAGAATTTTAATTACTTTTTTAATATTCCAGTTTTCTAGATTGACCATCAAGTTTTACGCTAAACATAATTTGTCACTGTTCCCTGCAACTGATTTAAAAATATAAATTGTATTTAACCCTTTTTCAAAGTGCCCAATAATTTACTTACTTATTGCACAGATTATTATACACATATTATATTGAATAAATTTTATTAACGTACTTTGTGTGTATTCATCTTACAGATTTTGAAATTATTTTTATTACAAGTGACTTAATAATTCAAATTTTATAATAATTATATCAAAAAAAAATTTACGCTCCCAAAGATATCAAAATAATCTCAAATAATTCTTAGAATGCTGTTTTAATAAACATCATTCTAAACTTTATATCTCATTTATTTAAAAAAGGAACTTTCATGTTTAATAAAATAATTTCCGACTGATTTCATTTATATGTTTTTGGTTTCTGAAACAAGGAATAGTATAAAAGTCGTAGTAGTAAGATTGAGAGCCAAGAAATAAGAGCTATCAGTGATTTTCTTTTTAAGAAATAGAATTTTGAAATTCTTTTTTCAATCAATCGGCAGAAACAAGAAAAAATTTATATAACGAGAATTTATTTACAATTAGATTGAAACCAATCACCAACTTTTTAAGAGCATTCTTATAAAAGTTTCAGGATAAATTTGCATGGATTTTGAATCTGAAAAATAAATTTTTACAATTATAAAAATTAATTCTTATTACTTTAAATATTCCCTTATTTTATACTAAATTTAAAGGTAAAAAAATAATTGTTAAGTATTTGCAGTATCTATATAATATCGAATTCCCTTGAAAATTGCATATATTTAGGAGGTGCGTTCTTTATCATTTTATTTGTGATAAAAATTAAATTCGTGATCAACGAAATTTTGTTTTGAGAAAAAGATACACAAGTATTTTATTTGCTCAAATTTTTCGAATAAATAAAAATATTTTTCAAAAAGAAAAAAGAAAAAATGTGCCATTTGGGAATCGTAAAATTTTAATTTGTTACGTGATTACTCTTTCTTCCTCACCTTTTAATTTTAATGTCAGTTCTTTCAAAATCCACTTTGGTACATCTTTTTGATTAACAATTGTTATTTCACAGGTTTCTTTAAGCTTTGAATTTACTTTTGCAGTATGATTAAGAAATATCTACAAAAATAAAATTAAGAGAAAAAAAATGTGTTTTCGAACAAATTTTGTTCTTTGCATAATAAGAACTTCAAAAGGAAAAGATTTTAGAAAAATTCTTTAGAATTGCGATTATTGGGAAATTCAAAAAGAAACTACTTATAAGAATAAAATTATATTTTTATATTATCGAATAAAATTTTAAAAGTATAATTCACGTTTGATCGCTACAGTAAGGGTTTTCATCATTTACTAAACAGTAAAAATTATGATGAAATTTTATTGAAAAATTCTTATTAATATTAAAATTTCCAAAATTAACTTTTACGAGTACTAGTTATATACATATTTTTAGAATTTATTTACTTTGTAGAAAAATTGGATCCCAAGAATTTGTTTTTTGCTAGTAGGTCTACACTACAGTATTTTGAGAACGGCATTATGTGTTAAAAAGATTTCTCAAAAATTAATTTGAAGTATATTTTTACCTTCGAGAGGCAAAGTATAGATCAGGTTTCCTTTTTATTCCATTAAAACTTTTTAATCGTAAGTCAAAATCAGCGTAAATATATATATTAAAGACATGTATGAATGTGGGATACTTTAATAAATTACATAATTTATATTTAATTAAGAAATATTAGATTAAAGTAACTGAATAAGTCACGGAAAAAAATCACGTTTCCAGCAATGATAAATTTTTTTGGGCAATATTGCATTTTGCTTAGTATGACTACTTGGTAATATTTTTTCTGATAATTTCTAATAATTAAGAACCTAAGGTAAAGTATTTAAAGGAATCGTTAAAATATGTGAGAAAAGAGTGTTTTCCACATTCTGGGAAAGCTGTTAATACGTTCTAAAAGAGCATCTAAAATTTATTTAAAAATTATAATGAGAAATCGTAATTTTGGTAAAAGATGCGGATTTATAAACGCGATTTTTTTTTTACTAATTTTCAAATAAATTCTTGACTTTATTTAAATAAATTCTTGCGACTTCTTTAAATAATTCTGCCACTAATAAAATAGAAGCTAAATAAAATATTTATTTATATAGTCTTAAGGAATTACAAGTTCTGAAAATGTTTTTTAATTCCTATACAGACGAAATACGCTTCAAAACAAAAATCTCATAATATAAACTTTTGGTAGACAACAATAAAATATTATTGTACGAGTAAAAAGGTTGCGATATCGATCTATAAACATTTACGAACATTTATTAAAATTATTCTATTTAAAACAATTTAAAATTTAGCATTTCCTTTATACCTTATTATATCGCTTAATGAAGTGCAATAATTAAAGACGGTTTATTATTTCAATAATATTAAAATCAACTGTAAATACGGAAATTTTCACATCATAATTAAAACTTAATTATTAACACCATTTTGAACAAAGTTAACACCATTAATGTTATTCTTAAAATATTTTATATTTTAGTTATAACACACAATATTATTACTAAATATGTGCATATTTTTATGTTAAAATAAATTTATTAATGTGCGGTAATAATAATTATATTGTTAAATTGGTATACTGACACGTTCTATATTTGACCTAAATCTATACAATACCATATACTATCTTTATTATAATAATAAACTTATACATAATATGTAACATACTTAAAAAAAAAAGTCCATTTTAGTTCTATACTTCTCTCTACATCTGTTAATAAATTACATAAAATGTAATTATGCATTAATAAATTGTAATTTATTTTCATATAAATAATAGATAATTTATAATTACATACAAAGTATGTTTATTAGAGTGTTCATATTCTAAAAAATGTCTATTGAAATAAAATAAATGTGTTTTATACTCTTAATATAATGATGTACATCCTTTAATACGGAACCTTTTACTCAAATCGTGTTATACTATCAATTTGTTATTATTAATCGGAACTACTATCATTTACGTATTCTAACAAAATTATAATATCAAAAAAAAAAAAAAAACTTTTGTAAAATTGCAATATTACGGTAATAATAAAATTACAATTTGATTAATTATTTATAATTCATTTGATTCATATTAAAAGTTTGAAATAAAAAATAATAAAAAAAGCGTTTTGAAATTTTAGTAGGACATGAACAATTCATTTTATCTCAAAAGGTGCAGCGCAGGTAAATTATAGATAAAAAAATAATTTTACACGATATGAAGGTTCTTCGTTAGTAACACACCCCAGACAATTTTTTTGAATAATTTCTATAATCCCGATTTAAACCTAAACGTATGACGAATACACTTTGTATAATTGCTTGCCGTAAATATTTATTAAAATTTGGTATATTCTCATTAATTGAAGTAAATTAAATTTGAAGTTTTAATTTCTTATACTTTTGTTGACAAAATTAAAAGTTGTTCATGGTCGTTCCGCATAAATATATCCAACTTTTATATTATTCAACTTCAACTTTTGAATCAATTTTTGATTGAAACGGAATGTGTAGGAAAATAGTAATTGTCCTACGCATGAAAAAATTTAAAATAATATCTACAATCAACCTGTTAAATCTAAATCATACACTAACTTCATCAATATTTTTTACAAAATACAAAATCAATTGTTGAAAACATAATGTTATAAGATAACAGAATTTCAAAAATTAATATATTTTTTTCATATTATTTTAAGGTGATCTCTTTTAATGGGAAATACACAATTGAACATACAATAATTCTGTTCAAATACCAGCAAAAAGCAGTTCTAGTCGATTCTGCACAAAATAAATCACCACATTTAAATTCTTCATATAAAAATTTATAATCCAACGAAATTTGATTTAATTGGGAACATTGTAGTTTTGCCAAATCGAACAGAACTCCAAAAACTTTTATTTTAAAATTTTAACACAATTTCAATTATATTGTCGTTAATTTTTCTTTGTTGTTCGAATCGAAATGTTTGATCCTCCGAAGCTTTCTTTGCAAATGGTAAGATGTTATAAATTTATAAAACTTTCGCAAAAAAAAATTTTCGAATTGAGAGAATTAATGCTCTCAATTTCAAAATTCATCTCTTTTACAAATATTTGGGAAAAAAGGAACAAACATACCCTTATTAACTATTTATTATTTAGCTAATCAATAAAATTTCCGTTATCATTACAACATGATCTATTGAAATAAAAGGGGAACTTAAATTAAGAGCAGTGAAATGAAAATGTAATCACCACAATTTTTTTAAAAATTCCACTTTTTCGAATTTCGAAAACATGATGATTTTCACTTATTTTATCCTAGTATGTATGTAGTGGTTATGAATAAAAATTTATAGTATTTTCTATATACGTACATTAAATGTAATATGTAAGTATGTACATGTGAATGGATATTAATATTTCTTTTGTATAACAAAATAATATTAATTCAATTCCGTTATTTATTTATTTTTCCCTTTATCAAAACAAAAATTTCAAAAGAATTCAAAAGACAAAAAAAAACATGTAAAAAAATAAATAAAAATAAATGGAAAAAAAAAAAAAAACGTATCCTTGACGTGTCAGAAATGAAAAACGAATTTGAATCTTCAAGAATAACCACATAAAAAAAATATTCTTTTTTTCAAATATGTATGTACATATGTACATACATTCGTACCAACGTAATACATAAGCATATTTATGTATACGTTCATTTATTTTTTTATGTACATAATATATGCATGCATTTTGAAGAGATCCTTGAATTATTCAATAAGCAACATTTATCAATTTATTTCATTATTTAAGACTTCATACACCCATACCTTGTCGTATTCATGCATGTACACCTACAAACATACGTAGCTGATACTATGTTATTATTATTTTAAAGTACGTAAAGTAAACAAGTACACATCTCTCTCTCTCTCTCTCATTCTCTCTTTATTCCTTTTTTTTTCTGTTCAAATATTTTATGTTTGTTATACATGTAATATATTATTATGTGTACATATTAATGTATATATGTATCAATCTATATTTTAATACATTTAAGGTCTTTGATAACAAAGGTGTATTAATTCCGGGAAACTTGTACATAAAAAACAAAATTATTTTTCTATTTTAACATGATAAAAAGTGCAGTTTTAATTTTTGTTTTAAAATTCAACTGAAGCAAAGATAAGTTCAAAATTGGTAGTAAATTATAAAAACGTAATTATACACACATAAATAATATACGACTGCATTATTTAGAATAATGTATGGCAAAATCGTTTAAACGATTTCACATTGTCACAGTGTCAAAGACAATTTGCGTGATTGAATTTAAAAAATATTGAAATAAAATTGAACAACATTATAAAACCGAATATACATTAACAAAAACTGGCTGCCATTAAACACAATTTTATATTAATTAAGATTCCAATTTCTCATCAATTTGAAGAAAATTACTTTTAACGAAAACAATTAATTAAAATCCTTTAAATACTAAATATTTAACAGTATATGAAATAAAAACTAAATTAAATTTAAAAGAAAGCAGCAGAAAATAAATTTAGATCAAATTAAAAATAGTGAGCAGCTGTATTGTATAGCTCATTGAATGTTGACAAACTTTTATATTATACATACAAATAAAAAAGAACTTAAGTTTAGTCCAAGTAAATAAGACAAAATTCACAAACGTATAACAACTGCAAACGAATGAATAAATTATGCCATAATTTTAAGACTTTGGAATTGCGCGAGTTGCCGTTATACGAAAACAAAAATACCGTATTTCTACTTTGATATTTCTAATTATACCCATCTAATCATCTAGTAATAAAGAAACGCAGTAAGAAATTTGAATTTGGAGCAGAAAAAAATTCGAAAACTATTTTTGTTTGGCTTCAAATATTCACGTTTTACCTTTGAAAGTAATTGCTTCTGAAATAATATGATACTTACTTTGTTAATTGTAAAAAAGACACTCTAAATAATTTAAATAAATTTTAAATTACTACCCAGACATTGAGTATAGAACAGATAACAGAAAAATGATTAAGAAAACAACTACAAACCTGCTTTGGTTGTTGCACTTTAATAGCTTGTAATGTTGCTGAACCATTAATAACTCTCAATGTTATTCTACCAATCAATTCATTTGTTTTTGCTGTTGCACTACGTATTGTACGATTTGATCCACGTTTAAATGATTTTTCAACACGTAATGTTAATGGACCCAATGTAAAACGTGCTTTAATCGTTGAATTTTTACCAGCACCATCTATTGTTGTTTCTGGTGTTACTTTAACATTACCAACACGTTTTAATGATGCCATACCATATAAAATTCCATGTGCTCTTTTAGGTTTTTCATCATTTGATTGAAATCCAGAATGTGTACCGGATGCTTGTTTTGTTTTTTGTTTTACTGTTGGAGATGAGGATATAGAGTGTGTATTTGCTGTTGTAATTGATGTTGGTTTTTGTTTATATTGTTGTAAACGATGTTGTGATTGTAATTGATTTTGAATTTTATTTGAACCGGATGATTTGAAAGTACCAGTAGTTGGAACTGAATATATACATATAAACAAATAGAATTAATTTATTTTTAGAAGTGACGATAAAATATTCCTTAAATTTGTACTTTTTTCTTTGACTTTTCAAAACCAAATGAAAAGTTTATGTAATATTGATTTGAATATAAATTATTTGTGTAAACGCGAAATGTCATGAGTGTCAATTTAAAATTTAACTGCTTTTTTAAAAAAATCGAAACTAATTTGAATTGAATAATTTTTAAAACTTCTTAAAATTTTATATAAATTCGAATAAAAAAAAATAAATTCCCAATAAATTCATAATCGTTGCACCATACATAATGGTATGATACAACATGTTCGATAAAAATGACAATGGTCTAACCATAGAGTAAACAGTAATAAAAATCTATATTATAAGTAAAATGTGTCACTATTGGATGTTTTAAAGTTTTTGTACGAGTATTGTAATATGTCAATAAACTAATCACCAAATAAGTTTGGTAAGTTGAATAAAATTAGTTAGGAGAATAAGTACAAAAACCGGCTAGTACACAGTCAATTTTCACAGGTCACTTTTTTAATTTATTATACTGACAGCATTGTGTTAATATTCAACAGATTTACCTAAAACTTCATATTATAAGCTTCTAGCTTTTGGATAAAATCAGGTGTAAGAAAGTGTTTACTACGGGCCAAATAATAGCCAATCAATTAAATTGAAATTTAATATTTTATTTCGAGGTGTTAAAACAATGAATCTATAAATTTTTTGGAAAGATCAGGGCTTGGAAACTGATGTGGTGGCCTATTTTACATATTTTACCATATCTACGAAACGGATTGACGAAATTTCTTGTTATTTAGTTAATAACAGTTCTGGTTGTTAAAGAAGTTACTGACAAAATTTTCGTATAATTGGACTGCACAAAATTAAACTCTACTAAGAGCCGAATTCACATTTTTCTAGGTATGTTAACTAAATGTTTAGTAGTGTCCTTAAAATTGTAAAGAAGTGCTTAAAACGCATTTTTAAATTCTTCTGAAATATTTTTAGTTTAATTTGCTGCCGAAAATATTTTACGTATTTGAGATCTAACGTATTTTGAAACATCTTGCAGAAACTTTTGTTAAAGTTTTAGAGGACTTAAAATCGGAAACATTTGTGTTGATAATATTAAATGATTGTCGTTTATAATTGAATTTATGTCCATTGTAATAATTTAAAAATCATATGTCAGACAAAATATTTCTTTCATTAAAAAAATTTTAAATTCTTATCTTATCGCTGTATGCTGAGTTTATGTAAAAGTCTTTAATCACGCAATCTACTTCGAAAATATTTTGTTTACGCTTCAATAACTTGTACTCGAAATATTTTGCACACTTTTTGCAATAAGATCTAATTTTATCTAAAAGTGGCATATGTAAGTGTAATCATCCGATAACTGGACATTTTTCTTAAAACGCTTAGCTTGATACTTTCTTTGGCATTTTCTTAATTTTTAAAATTTATATTGAAATAGTGTTAGTCTTAAGTGCCATTAGAAATCTAATAGAAATTGTTTTTAATAAATTTTATAATTTTCCTTTTTTAGTATAAATTCATTTTTCCTTTGAAATTTCTATTTCATCTACAAACATGTGTGGTTTTTCTTTGTATCAATAAGTCATATGTCACACAAGGTATATATTAGGTTTTCTTTTCTGCGGATTCAATCATTACACCTGAATATTGCATCATTATTATTAATATGAAACTCTTTTTCATTGGTTCTATCAAAAAACGACCATTACAGTTATAAATATCATAGTTAAAGTATAATTAGAAAGGATCCACATAATGTAATCATCAATGATTTTAAAGGAAATAAATATGAGAAAAGAAAAATATTAAATAACTTTTAGCTATACGTAATAATATAAAAAAAAAACTTATATAGATTTTTAATTTAGATGTGATTGATTTCAACGTTACAATTTCCCCAATCTTATTATTAATTTATAATATAAAATTTTCTATTTAAAACGATAGCTCAACATATTGATATTTAACAGAGGTGTGTAACCCATATACTGAAGATTTTCATAATTACTCTATATTGAACTCCCAGCACATGTACTTCAAATTAATTAGGGAAAAATTAGATTATTTGCCTGAATTTTCGACAACTTTTTGTTACGAAACCAGAATTATTGTTTTTGTGTCTTTTAAGATCATTAAAAAGCAATTTTTAGTTAAATTTAGACTTAAGAAGCTACTGAAGCCTTGCCTAACATTGCCTTATAAAAAAAACTGAATTGTATACTTGAAGAGTAAGTTTGTTGAAAGCTATTCATGTAAAATGACCAGGTAAACAAAAAATTTAATACCTTAATATTGAAAAATATTCAAGTTTTATTCCAATTGATAGGCCCAACATGTTTTTTAGGCCAAGAACGTTTTCACGATATCTACAAGTTCTTATAAATACTTTTGTGAGCAAATATTTATTTTTGATAATTACGAAAAAATGATTAACATAGGGTCAACCGTAATGTTTTTCAATAATTTATGAAGACAACTGCACGTCGCTGAATTATGTATATACTTACACAATAAACACTACCTTAGTTAGTGCTATTATGAAATACTCGTATACATATAATTATATACTATGTACGTTTGTACGTTATTTAATATAACGTGTGTATTTATTAAAATACGTACCTGACGATTCAATCATTTTACTTTGAACTCCTTCTGATTGATTATTATTGATGTCATCACGTTCATCATTCAAATTATTGACATTTAATTTAGACGAATTCTGCTCATGTACACCTTTAGATTTTGAATCATTTGAACGTCCTTTTGAATTGGTTTTTGTAATTTTTGATTTTCTAAAAAAAAAAAAAAATATTTACATTTACATAATTATATGTATAATATAAGTGTTCATTACATTTACCTATGTATACATATTATATACCAAATATACGCGATATAATTATATGCACACAGGTAGAAAAGCAGATAATTTTAAATTAAAAATTCATTTTAAAAATGAATAGATGAGAAATCGATTTTGCGAAATTAGAACACAGAATATTTAAAAGTGGGAATTAATGAGATTTATAATTTATATATTTTTTTTTGTTTCAGATTAAGTCTTCTGCATTATGTGCTCTTATAAGTACTTTATACATACATGATGCTTTCGAGGTTATTCAACTTTAAGATATTTGAACTCTCATTAGAATATAGAACTTTGGTCCTTATATCACATAATATGAATGTTAAAAATATTTTATTAGAATTTGAAATTGACATAAATAATTAAGGGCGTGCATATAAAATATGTGTTCGTATATATACGCTAAAATATGTAATATAGAACTATAGTTACGGTAAAAATTATTGAATATACTGTGTTTGAAGTTAATAATTATGTCAAAGGTTTAAATATGATTTTAGTATAAAGTTGGTCTGTAATTAATAGTCAAGGTTGGAAACTAATATAGTACATAATTTTATCATACCATAAAAAATAAGATACCGACTGTAATAAGAACCAATTTTGTCGAAAATGGGAGGCAGCAGAGCAACATTTTGTTAAAATATTTTTTTTCTCATTTTTATAGAGATTTGATAGAAAAACTTAAATGGCATGCAATATGACCGTTAATAAAATTTACTTAAAACTTACTTTAATTTATCAACATTCTTTGTTTTTTCTGTTACTGAAGCTGTACTTTTCTTTCCTGTTAAACGAACTCTTACTGGATCAAAAGATGAACGAAGAATTTTATTAATGCTATCAAAAATGTTATCAACAAAACCATTATATCTATCAATTATTATTTCTTGCATTGGTTCCGACATTTTTTGTTCAGGAACTGAACCTATGTGAAATAAATATAATTTAAAGAAAAATTACTACCAGAATACTTAATTAAATGAAGTTTCAATTAAATATAATTGAAAGGATGTGAAAGGAGTATGTAGAAAGAAATTTTTTTTAAGCAAAGTTATTCAAAACTAAAATGAATTGCAGTACTTTTTTAACTAGAAATATATTTAGAATATGATGTAATACAAATATCAATTCATTTAGAAATTAATGGATGTGGTCTAGAATTCCCATTTTATATTTTTTTTTTCAAAAATTGAACCTTAAATATATCTATACAAATGCACATATTTGAAAACAATTGAATTCTATATTACGATTTGAAAAATATTTACGAGTTTTCGTTTGTCTTAAAATCTCTTACGAGAAGTTTCTTATGGAGTTTCTGAAGTGCTATTTTTTCGAAAGACATTCATTGTAGATAAGAAATATTGAATATTGTTAATAATAATGCGTCAAAAAATATAAATTCCGACGACAACCATGGTATTTGAATAATTAACACAATATTAAGAAGTTTAATTAATTTATAACAAGGTGTATTCCAGCAAAAAATTAGTACATTTTATTGGTAAGTTAATAGAAAATAAAATAGCATCAGAATTCATATAATTAAACTTTTTCAAGGGCTTTGAAAAAATTCATTTAATTTATCTACGATGATTTCACTTATGACCACAACGTAAGTTTGTCAAAAATAAGCACAAAATTTTATAACTTTACTCAAAAAAATTGTCAAAAAAATATAGAATATAGAAATTTTTTACTTTTAAATATAGAAACAGCCAAAAATTGTTGTGTTTTTTAAATGAGGAAGATAAATTTTGATTGAATAAATAAAATTGTTCTAGTATTATTTTTAAATAAACTAAAAATAAATAAATAAATTAGTTAACTTTACATATAATTAAGTAAAAATATTAACAAGCATTAATTTAATTGCTGAAATCTAAACCAAAATTAGCACATTACAATGCAATATTAAAAATTTTTTTAAAGCACATTAAAAGAATGCTCTACAAAACCATACCATTGTAAGTCCAAATTCTACTATTTTGATGGCAATTATTTCTTTTTTGTTTTTACTACATTTTACTTTAGTTTAATTTTAGAATGAGAAATTCATGTTACTGTTTTGTTAATTACTGTTATGAAAATTACTGTTTATAGTGTTCGTTAAATTTCGTTATTTTTATGTTATTAATGTTTTGTTATTTTGACTGTAGTTTGAAATTATCAGATTATTAATCAACAAATTAAAACAGAAAATAACAATTACTTACTCTTAAAATTACGATTACTTACTTGCTTTAAATATCTGCTGTACAATAATAATAGCGTAAAACTATATGCGTTAAAAAATTAAAGCGCTATATCACATTGTAAAATATATTAATTAATACTAAAAATATATTCTAACAAAGAACTTGTCAAAGTTATATATTTTGGCTTTTAACTGAACATTATTGTAACATTATTTAACAATTGAGGGATAAGTGCACAAATAAAAGATAGAAACAAACATGCTAAACAATAAAAATAGAAACACCAAGATTAAAATAAATAATTGTGTTTGCAAAAGTCGATTTTATAAAGCTACTGTTCCCTATTTCAATGCATCAATGTGATGCTTCCATATTATGTTTTCAATTCAGTCTCAAGATTATTTTTGCAGAGGTTTGTTCCGAAAACGCTTTACATCTTTTTTTTTCAGAACCTCTTAGAAAATATTTTTGAGTAAAATTACATTTATTTCTTATTTATTACAAATTTCTTGAAAAATTATAACAATATTTTAAATATCGAGACTCCTTGACCAACTATAACTATTATTCATAGAAATTAAATTTCTATAAGTCACATAGCTGTTTTGCTCAAGCTGCAATCAAGATAGTTGAGTTCTACATTAAGTTGCACAATTTGGTGTGTTAGATGCTTAATGATACAACTTTTTTGTTGAAATTTTAATTTTTTTAAACCTGGATATCAAATAATTTAAATTAATTTCTTATTGTTATCCTGCGATTGAAAATTTACAATCAATCTGTACGTTTAAATACTGCTGTGTTCAGAATTGCGAACCATAAAATCAACAGAGGCAGTAAATTGTACGAAATTTATAGTTAATAAAAGTTTTTCTAGTTGAAATTTAAGTAATCTTAATAATAAGGTATTGTACAAATAATTTTCTAGATTATAAAAATGCTATGTTCAAAATATTTGTAATTATACGCTTCGTGGTCTTAAATAGACTTTTAGTTTTAGTTAGATTAGAAGTTTGGAATACGCAATACTGTAGAAACTTAAAATGTGTAAATAATTTATTTGTCGTGACCAATACTTACCACGAAAAAATCTTCGTTAAAATAACCTTCTCTAAAATACTCAATTATCTATTTAAGTCTTGTAAAATTTATTTGGTGAAAACAGAACAAGAACTTTTTTCGCGATGGAATGTCAAAATTTTTGTGAAAGACACATATATAAATGGAGCTGTCCAGAATATAGCGAAATCACTAAATCGTGAATTTAGTCGACGGCAGCGTAAAATCGTTATTTACCGCTGGCAGCCTTTTGTCATCATCATCATCTGTTTCAATGAGCGCTATAACGGAAATCATCTACCGTTTCCGTTCCCCGCTTTGGTTCTGTTTTTACACTTAAACAAGCATCATGTATTTAGACTTGAATAGGGGATATATTCATTAAACAAGAATGTTAGATTCTGTAAATTCTCTTTATATAAAATATTTATTTAGAAAAATGTGGAGAAAGTTTGAAATCTTGTGTAATTAAAGGACCCCAGAATAAATTAAGGAAAGAGTTAAATTATTCCAATTTTTTCAAACGCGTTATTATGTGCATTAAGTTTCCTCAATATTTTATAAATATAAATCAAAATTAATTCTTATAAATCTAAAAACTTATTTACAATAAAAACACTAAAATTATCGTCTTTCTAAATAATTTCAATTAAATAATTATAAAAAAATCTATATCATAAAAATCACCTTGTTTCCACATGAATGTCAACCACGAAAGTCCAATAAAATAAAATTTTTATTTACTTAAATGAGTAATCTTTGATATTTAAATGAGTAATTGGACTCTTTAAAACTTGGAGTAAATGTGTAATTGGACTCTTTAAAACTTCTTTAATTTTCTTCAAATTTTTCTTATTCTTTAAATTTTTACCATTAATCTTGAAGCATAAATTGACAATTTGAATTAAAAAAATTTTTCAAAAATGTGATTAAAAGAACAAATCCGTTGATATAGACGATAAAATTTCGATAATCGTTTTGATAAAATTTCTAAACTAGCGTTAGATGTTAGAAGAGGCAAATATTTCTTTATGCTTTGAACATATTATGTTGACAAAATTGCATTTTTACATTGTTGAAAGTGTATAACTTTTGGAGAAGAAATATATAATAGCTTCTATCTAATCACATATCCTATAAAGTCAAAAATCCACTAGTATGTAAAATTTCAATTTTATAATTGGTATTGAAACTTTCTAGTCAAGAGCGCTAAAGGAAACTTGTAAGTATTTTTGTAAATTTATTCTTATTATCAACATATTTTTCATGTACTATGCATTTTTATTTCTTGAAAATAGGAGAAGAAGCAGAGTTGTATCGTAAGAAGGAGAGATGCACAATGCACAAATATAATGTTTTAAAAATGTTTAATATATTTCTTAAAGAGAATTGCCGAAGTGAATTTGTTTGAAAAAGTTTTTGTTATCTACTCAGAACATTCAGTTTTATAATTATTACAAAGCAGACCTCAATTATTTTAAACTCATTTTTAAATATTGAAAACAATATTTTTGTATGGGTCTAAGAAAACCCTAAAAAATAATAAATTATTAAAAAAAAATATTTTTGTTACAAAATTGGAAAAATAAAAATTTAATCAAACTAAAAAGCTATATAAGAAAAATATATTTCAAAAGTTTACGTTAACAAAAAGATGAAAAAGAAAACAAAATAAAAAAAGTAAAATATAAAATTGCAAAAACAGATATAAAGAATTTTTACAGGACATTTAAGAGCGAGAGAAGAGAAAAAAGATATCGCAGAAAACCGTTAATATTGCACATAAACGCTTGAAAAAAAAAGTTTAGTAAAAATTTTTCGAAGATTTTTGTATTTAAAAAAAAAAGTCCCTAAAACGAATTCGTAGTGAAAATTTGAATTCGTAATTGATTTAACCCTTGTGCGGACAACTGTGTGATTTTTTAGTTTTTAATTTTTTTAATGAAAACACTAAAATTGTTTTTTTTTTTTACTTTAAAATTTAATTCAATTTTTTTTTACAGCTTAATATGTTTTATTTTTTCATACTCATTTGCGATCTCTCTATTCTTCAATAAATAAATAAATTAAAAATTAATTAAATAATAAATAAAATTATAAAACAAAAAAAAATATTTCTATCTAAAAACGAGAAAATTAAAAAATTTATAAATAAATTTTTTTTTTATAAATTATTTTGTGACTTCCTACAATTTAAACATTCGTACAAATTAAATTTATAATAATTTTGTTAATAATTTAATTAAATTTCTTTTACAATTTTAAATTTAAAAAATTTTGAATTTCTTTGTATTCATTCTTGTTTTCTATAAAAATGTCTTTTCTTAAAATGTCCGGCGGGTATTTGTTTTCATTTAATAAATAAAAATTAATTAAAAAAATAATATATAAAATATTTTCTCAAGAACAATTCAAAAAATTTGTAATAAGCATGATTAAATTTTGTTGTAATTATAAAAAGTTTAAAAAATTAATTTAATTAGTTTTTAATTATTTAAAAATATTTTGTCATTCCCAATTTCAAAGTATCCGCAACTTAGGACACGTTAAAATTGGGAATAGAAGATTCTTGATTTATTAATTACTCTTGCTGAAACCTCATATTAAAATAGTAACATTTATATAAAATAATTGTCTGTTATAATATTCGCTACATTTCTGAATGAATTTTATCGAATTCTATTTATTTAAATTAAAAGGTATACGATGATCTTAAATTTATACTCTAAATTGTGATGATAAAATATGCATATTCAATCAGCTGTATTATGAACTCTACATTAAAAACATATACGTAAAAATCGTTTTATCGTACGTTATGATCATGTTAATTTATCGTAAAAATAATGTGTTTTCAAAATTATTAGAGAAATGTACCACCGGCTAAATTTCCTATGCATTTATCGTATATCGAGTTTGCTTTTACTTTAGTATCGATTTGAAAACAGTGTACGATTAAAAATCTTACATAAAGTAAAGTGCCGTAAAATTTCTGTTTTATAAATTTTTATTTATTTTAATATGGGAAGCATTTTTGAAATAAATAACAAATTTATTATTTAACTATAAAAAATTCTAATTTTTCATTTATCCAGACCAAAAATTTACCCCGAGAAGATTTTTCACGTCACATTTTTCGTATTAGATCAGATCAGTAGTTAACAAGTAAAAACTAATTAAAATAATTTTGAAACTACAATTACATCTTATATTTTCTCAATGAAATTTTTATAAAACCTTTCATGCTCGTTATTTTTTTAAGTATTTTATTCTTTTGGGATTTTTCAAGCGTTTTATGGCTTTTTTTCACTATTACTTTAATTACATTTTTTTTTATCTAAATAAAGAGTTACCAACACCCAACCACACACTTATAGAAAACTACATTTTGTTTTTTTTTTTCAAAAATTAGCAATTTTAAAATTTAGAAAATAAAATGTTTTTTTCTTTTATAAAAATTATTTGTAAGAATTTTTTGCAGAATATTTTTCATATTTTTTTTTTTTGTTTTTTGTACAAATTTGTCAATTTTTTTTCTTTTGTTTTGTTTGAGTTTAAGTCAAATGATTCCTGTTTTGTCATCATTGTCATCTGTCAAAGTGTTTTGTTTACATTCGTTACAGTTTATATTACGTATGAATTTTATTTCCTAAAAAAAAATGTAAAAATTAATAAACAAAGCAGTTTGTTTTTTTCGAACGAAATAAAATGAAGAAAAACGTTTAAGTTCATATGGGATTCATAAAATTTGGATGTTAAATTTTTTTGTGTCAATTTACCTTGATATAATCAATAACTTCTTTATGCTTTTTGTATTACCGTTAAAATGTAAGTGATCTTCGCTATATTGTAATTTCTTTGTTTGTAAAGTGTTAAATGTATTTTGTCATTTTGTTTCTTTAGTTTGCATGTTTTATGTATGGTCGTATGTTTTAATAGTTTAAAATTATGTTATTTTCTTTGTTTGTTTTGTATTTTGTTTCGTTTTTGTGTTTTGTTTTCAATGTTTCTTCCCTTTTTTGTTCAATGATTTTTTGGCTGATTGATGTAGTAATTTCTTAGATTTGGACTCACGTGTATGTCTTGCTTCAATAACATCTTCACCAATTAATTCATCGTCATCATCGTCATCATCATCATCATCGTCATCACCTGTTAGTGCACCTGCAATTTCATCTTCTTCATCATCGTCATCATCATCATTATCAGAATCATTATTACTAATTTCATTAACAGCTGGATTTGCAGCTGGTATTATATTAGAACTTGCCGATACTGTTTGTTGTGATTGTTGTTGTTGTAATTTCAAACTATTATCACCTGTTGGTACATTATCCGATAAAACACCGCCTTGTGATGTTCCAGCAGCTTCTGCGGAAGGTTTATTTAAGGATTGGGTATCAATTTTGGTATCAATGCCGGTATTCTCAGATTCATCATAAAAAACAGGTTGTTCACCTTCAGACGGGTAATCAGCTGATTGTCCAACGGGGATTCCCTCTGCTATCTCACTTACTGCTGGGGCTGGTGGTATCGCAACATTTTGAACGGCTGTTTGGGCTGCTTGTACAACTGGCTTTGATACTGATTGTGCAACAGAATCATCATCATCATCGTCATCATCATCTACAAATTTATGTATGTATTATGCATATATTAATACAATGTTTTTATATAAATTTTTTACCATCAAGAATATCATCAAATAATCTTTCCAAATAATCATCATCATCGTCATCATCATCATCATCGTCGTCAGATGTTGATGAGGAAGCACCTTGTACAGCGCTAGCTGCTACTTGTTGTGCTTCAGCAGCTGGCGAATCTCGTACTGCATTTTGTTGCTCATCTGAATCATCATCATCATCATCGTCATCTGAAATCCCAAGATCTTAATTCAAGATATAACACGATGAATAATTTACAAAGAAAAATAAAAAAAATATTTATATACATAAAATTTATACAAAGCGGAATAAAAAATACAAAATTCTTTGCAAACTCTACTTTCTAATACGCACTAAAACCGTGCCACAATAATAACATGTTGCACTAGATATTACGTTTTTTATATGCTACAATACTGCATAAAATTTTTATTACAGTCTATTACTCTATAGCTATAAAATTATACAATATTAACCATCATCATCAACAAGTGCTTCTAAATCATCTTCATCGTCGTCATCGTCATCGTCATCATCATCAGATGATGATGCAGCTACGGTACCACCACTTTGTCTGGCAACATCATGTGATTTCCCTTTAGTAATCAATTCATGATTCTCTACTAGTTGAACTGGTGATGATTGACATTCCCATAGTAGGCAACATAGAACGCATAAAACTATAACCAATTTCATTCTTAGAATTATTTAAAGAAAGTTTACTACTATAATTAAAAAGAATTGTGCTCTGCAAATAAAATAAAATAAATAAGAAAATACTGAATTAAAAGTTATTGATAAAATATTGATAAGTTATTGATAAAAGTAGAACAATATCCTGGAAAAACTAATAATGAATTCCAGGAAATGTATGCATTTTATTTTTGTTTTTCTTTGATCATTTTTTTATAATATTGGATATACAAAATTATTTGTTTAAATTTATTTAATTTTCTGCCGTTGAAAGTTCTTAGTACAAAAAAAAATTGGATCTACATAAAAAAAAACTTTCATGCTCAATTTAAGGGCATAAATCGGAAGCCAGTAAATAATTCAAATAAATTTTCAAGAAAATATTAAATGCTAATGATTTTTTATTTGTTTTTCTTTCAGTTTTTAATTGCCTATAGTATTGTTCAATTACTTGTAATTGTTCTGTAATTACAGAAAAACGCGGAATGAAAAATAAGAGGAAGAGGAAAATCTCTTCTTTAAAGGTTAGCACGGACTTCACATGCTTCTACTTACTAAGAGAATAATATTGTAACAACTTTTCCTAAACTTATGCAATAAAAATTAGTTATTTTCGTATAATACTTAGTTTAAAATGTACATACATACATATGTATGTAAAATAATTATAGAACCATTCAACATCATTTTTCAAATTTTTGTAAAACAAATAATACAAAAACGATTTTAAAATTTTCAAGAACATAAAGTTTGTTTCATTTATCATCTCAAAAGTTCGTAAAAAAATACAAAAAATTAGTTAGATTTTAAAAATGTCATCCTCAATATCAATATTCCACACAGTTCTCTTGTTAATAAGCTAGTTTGTACTTGCAACGCTCAAACAGGGCTTTGGGAAGAAGGATTTAATATTCTTAGACATTCCAAAACAAAAGCTATGAGATATTATTAGTATGGATCATAATTATAGGATCAACAGACTTAACGGAATTCGTTTATTTGATCATGTAGTAAGGCGGCTAGGCTGAACAGCAATCAAAACTCTATTGGAAAATATAAATATTGTCATATTTAAGAATAATCAACTTAAAATTAAAATTTGAAATCATACGATAATTAATTAGAATCATTACAAATTAATTATAATTATTATATCGGTATTGTTCACTGGCACATGTTTGAAAATGTGGAATGATAATTTTTCAAATAAATCTAATATAAGTAAAGTTATTTTATTTATTTTGGGGTCGTTTGCCTAAAAATATTGCTTTATGATAGAAAAATTATATAATTTAGTATTTCATTTCTTTCATCTACATTCCTTCCCAATTAAAAATCGATATTTAATTTATAAAATAACATAACACCAGTACCACTTGAAATCATAAAGTGAAAAGCAACTCAAACAAATTATTATTAATCTTTAAGTTAGTAAGATGCTAACCAGTATTTTTTCCCCGATTAATGCTTTTTACACACATTCCAATCCAAGCCTTGCAGAATATCAAACATGAATAAGAAATTGAGCGAGCAAATATTTGAAATAACAAAATGGAAAGAAAGTGTAAAATCAAAAAATAAATTGCCATTCCAGAATCCAGATCTTATAAAATCAAAATGAAAGAAAACAAAAATAAATAATAAAAGAATACCAGATATTTTCAAGTCGTCGTACGTTGATGACATTTTAACTGACATAAATTGATTGCTCTTTCTGGTTATATTTTATAACTCACATAAAGTATTACCATGGTCAAAAGTACACATCTAAGAAAAATTAACACCAAACTTGAAATAGATTTATAAAAAAAACAAACCTATAAAATAAATTTGGGAAATACAAAAAGAAATAAAAATTATAAAAGATTTGACGTGGTCAGCTAATAATCGAATTGTTTATTTTTATAATATATAAAAATTACACAATATTATGAAAATGCAATTACTCTCACTACGATTGAAACCTAAATTTGGTGCTTAGTAGGAGTTCGTTTTTGGAGGTCTGGTAAATTAATGAATTTGCTGGCATATTGATGAATAAACTGCTTGTCAACTGCTTGCTTATTAATTGTCAAGTCATGACATTGATCTAAAATATCTCTTGTTTAATTTTAAGTGTAAAATCGCCACTTAATAAAGTTCCTGCTGCTGGTCATAAAGTTGTGATATCCGCCAGTCTCCCCAAAATGAACTCAAATATAAATTATCTGCCGAAACTGAGACTCAGACAAAGAGATCAATAAACCTTTTTAAAAGTAATTTGTCTGTTTCAAAATTCGACATGTTTGTTGCCATTACAATACCTTCAGTATTTCCTGCAAAACGATTGATAAAAAAAGAACCTATGGCAAGAATTAAAAATAGCTAGAATATGAATAGCAAAAATGATAAAAAAAATCAATCACAACCGGAAGCAGGTTTAAACTTTCTTCTAATTGCATTCCATCACATCACAATTAATAAAAACATTTACACATAACCGTAAGTAAATATATATAAATATGTATAATAATTTTTATTTTTTGATTATATAAAATTAATTATGTAGGTGCACAAACACACACCATACCTACCGAATCATTTTATCAAAACGTGACCAAAGTGAAGAGCACAAAAATGAATGAACAAAACGGTAGGAAAAAAAAATAAATTTTAAAATGCGAGTAAACCTACATACATATATAGGAACCGCAACCAAATAAAAATGGTAGTAACGAACGAACATTTATGCAGATTAAATAAAAACATGTATGTATGCAGAACAAAGTAAAAGAAAATATTCAATGGAGAAAAGAATTTAAATATTTTTTTTTTTTATTTGTATACATAAATTTATTTATGCACCTACAAGGTATATAGCATAAATATGTTTTCATTTCCTACATACACAGTTATACTCATTATACACTCATATTATTCACTCATTTTGATTTAAAAGAGAACTGAAGAATATGTTTATGGCAGGTGATGTGAGGTGAACTTTATAAAGTTTTTTATTATTCTACTTTTTTTTTTATTCTTGTTTTTTTTTTTCTTATATATTACGTGGAGATGTGGTGACCTGATTTCCATATTTTGGACAAATTTATTAATGGGTGTATAAAATTGTATATTGTTGTGCAGAAGAAACTGTTTAGAAAATATTAACATAAAAGTATGCATATATTGTGTATGTATGTATGTATATATTTTTTTTTGATTTTAATATTGAAATCGTTGAATAACAAATCTGTTCAACATATTAAATTCATTTAACCTCATTCCATGACTTTTTTTTTATTAATTTTTTTAATGTATTCCGAAGATAATTCAAATTATTTCAGCATTTAGAGGTAGCTTATTTTGTTTGCAAATAAGTATATAATTTAATGTTGGTGAAGAAAATTAAGTTCTATACTGCTCTGATAATTAAACTGATTAAATACAATGTGCTTAAAGATAAAATTACCTCTAATAGCACAAATAATTTCGTGTGTCAGAAAAATCACTTGTTTGAAATGTTCAATAAATTTTTTTTTTATTTTGTAAAACACAGGAACATTCTTTCCTGGTGATCAAAGAAACGCCATGACACGAGAAAATCTAAATATCTTGGCTTTGATTTGTAATGCATTTTAATGTACTCTAAAATATTACAGATTATATCGCTTATTTGTTTTATGGGGTAAGTATGATATGATGATAGATATAATATGATTAAAATAGTTATCAATTGAAAAGTGTACAAAAAAAGATGTCAACTTTTTAATCAGAAATTTCCAATGTAATATAAGTTAAATATATATTACAATAATGTTGTAGGAACACTAATACGAAATTAGATATGACAAATTTTGATATCCAATTATGCTCAACATTTCTGGTGTGTTATTTTTGTGCACATTCCTGCACAAATCTAACTAACTGCATTTCGTGTGATAACAGTTTTTAAGGGTTTCATTCCATTATAATAAATACTGTTCCAAATCTTAAGGTATAAAAATTAGAATTTTGAGTATATGGGTAAATTAGTAATGAAAGTAGTTTTTAACAGATAGAAAAAATTTGGTAAAACCTTTTTACAGTTACGCTTCTCATACCACACATACAAATTTTGACGCAAAAACTAAACAAAAATTAGACTACATGAAATTTCAGACTCTTTCCTATTGTTTAAAACAGTTTCCCTTGTAATACCGCTTTTTATTTCTTGTTTATCTTTTCTTATAGAAAAAGGCGTACAAATGGTGAAAAAATCCTATATATTATGATGTTAATGTTGATAAAATGACGACGTGTTTAATTAAAACTGTTTTTTTTTTTTTTTTTAGCTGGTTTTGTGAAAAAAAAATTCACTCTTTTACCGTCATTGTCACTTTATCTGCTTAAAATATTTTCAAAAAAGAAATTAACTTGTAAAATATTTTCTTTCAAAATAAAGACCAGTGATTTTGGTTTTAAAATTCAATTAAGAAAATTTTATTTGAATGAGAGTATGAAGAAAATGTGGATGATAAAAGAATATTTTTGTAAAATGGAATTTGCAGTATGAAAGCACTGAAATTAATTTATAAAATTTAAATATTATACTCACATGTTTGATAATTTAATCTAATAGTATATTTAAATTTGAAAAAATGAAATTGAATCAAATATTTCGGATATACACTAGTATAGAATGTAAGCAATTGATTTAAAATTTCCTGATTAAAGGTAATGTATGTAAATTTTCAAAAAATAAAAAAATATTTAATTTGTGAACTAAACATTATTGCAGCATTGAAATTCTGTATAGTCTATGTGATTTAAAATAATGATCAAATATGAAAAATTAACAAAACAATACTCTATAATGGATTTCGAAATGATTCCTAATCAGTATCCATACTCATATAACAAGAAATGAAAAATTTACCCATAGTCCGGAAAAGGTGTCATAGAAATTTAAAAGAAAGTGTGCTTGTCTCCTTAGCTCCATGTTTGCTTTCTAAAATGTTGATTATTTAGCAATTGAAAATTATACTTTTAAAATTGAATTTTTAATGTTATTTTACATCTTCTAAGAATTATTATATG